GAGAGAAAACTTCAGAAGAAACCTCTGGATATATCTTTTAAAGTAACTATATGCAAACTATAAGCAAAAAGTTTTCAAATTAAGCTTCATACACCACATATTGGAGTCATAGAACACAGTAATCATACTGGTACTCAACCTCATCTCTACTGGCTAGCTTTCCTACTGCTGGAAGGTGCCATGCATGCTAGTAGGGGGGAAATGTAATCTTCAATCTCACTCAGCTGTGACTCCCTATGAGCTACAGTAACCACTGGCTTGACAAGATATGCCCACTGGTACAACAGTGGCATGAACGCTATGAACATAACTAACGACGTTCTGATTGCATCTAAAGCCTGCTCTGTGAAATGGAACCCATTCCTGGCACTGTTAACAGGGCCAAGAATTCTGAGAACTGTTATTCTGCTAAATGGACATAACATTAAACCAACTTTTAATTACTTATTCCTATACCCATAGATCAGTGCATTGCTTAATACTTATCAGAGAAGTAAGTCTCTCATCATTGTGGATAGCAATTAATACAGAGACCCTCAACTGGTTGATATGCAGAAAATTAAGAGACTGGAGTGCTCAGTCCTAAAGGGAACAAACACATCACACTCTATTCCTAAGCCCCAGGGATCTTAGTGGAAGAGTAGGTGAAAAGACTATCAAACCCAAGGGTGGTAGATAACATCAAGGACATAAATGTTTTCTGGACACAACAGGACAATTGCTCATATGCACTCAGTGATTGTGAAAACATCCAAAAGACTTGTGCAAGCTAAAGCCAGACACATTCCCAGCAGAATTGGGGCAGGGCATGAACTCCCAGCACTGAGGAACTACTTGCATTTGATAGTTGCTAGGAGAGTGAGAGTCAGTTTTCCTTAATGGTGTGATGCCTGGGAGGCCAGGCCCCCTCTGGAGAGTATGTGGGAGACACTAGCTGGAAGAGAAGGAAGAATGGGGTGGATATAGGAGGAATTAGAGAAGGGGAAACATGATCAAAATAAACTGTGTGGCGTTCTCAAAAAATAAACATAGTTTAAATACAAAAGTTTCAGGAGAAAAAAAGTAGTAGTGTCTCCTCCAAAGCTCATCACTCAGGCTTCAACAGCTCTTTGAGGGAGACTGACAAGCAAAGGAGAGCAGAGGAAACAGGGTCTGTATAACCTTCCTGAGCTAGTGCCATTCTCTTCCAAAGTCAGATCATTTTCTAATGAAAGACAATGTGCTGGACCACATCTCTCAGCATATCCAGAAGAGTCACCAGGAGAGTGGGGCTCTTAGATGAAGGGCAAGTAACATGCCCATGTTTAGGATTCACCCAGGAATCTCTCAACATTACTAAGCTCTTACTCGGGGAAGAAAAAAGTAGATTCAACCTCAAAATAGATGGTATGGGCACCCCAGAACAAAAATTCCCAAAGACTCTTCTAGGAAAAAAATTATGAAGGTTACAGAAGACGGGGGAGGGAGTATTTTCCTATCAAAATTTCCCATACTAAAAGGGGAGGGAAAGGAAGAAGGAAATTAAGTTGGGGCTGGAGAAGTGGTGTGTGTGTGTGTGTGTGTGTGTGTGTGTGTGTGTGTGTGTGTGTGTGTATGTGTGTGTGTTGGGGGGGGGTCTGTGTGACAGCGGGAATGACTCAAGGTTTTACAATTAAGATGCAGACCTGTCTCTCAGAGTTTAGGACAACCTCAAAAGGAGTATGGCCTGGTCAAGCATCCTCTCTTCACATAAGCAGCATGCTAATAGGCTCCTAGAATTCAACAAGCTGAAGCCCAGCTTTGAGTAATCCACATCAAACCTAATCTCTACTGGCATCACCACCAATCCTTGTAGAGAAGGCCAGGTCTTTTTAAGGGAAACACCTCCCATCACTCCCTCCGGAAGTGAGTGAAGTTAAAAGAAATAACTCAGTGCCAATTACCACCCAGACAGAGATTTCAGGAACACGCTGACAGGTGTACTTCGGCCTATACAGTGCTGTAACCTCCTCAAAGGTACTGTGCCAACTCTTCCCAGCCAAGGCAGTCCTTACAAAAGAACTGTCCCGTCAAAGGGCGCGGAAACTCCAACTCTAGCTGGGCAGATTTCTGGTTTCTGCATTCTCACTGACACATTCAGTATCAACCCGTTTCCAATTTAAAATAAAAATGTTGAACTTTAAGAACGCACCCAGCACAGTTCACATAGCATGTAATGTATTAAACACTGGCTGCTCAGAAGCTCACTGAGAACCATCTTCACAGCTGAGGAATAGTTCTAACTTCTCGATAGTTGAAGAACGTGGCTTCCAGACGCTAGAAGGGGAGCAGGGTGCTATTTTAAGCTATTGTGCTGGACAAGGCAAGGGCACCGTTGTTAATATCTGCATTCATTTTTATGACAGAGTCTGAAACAATGGAAATATTCGGAGTAAAAAAAAAAAGTCTGAACGTTAGTGCACACTTCGGGGGTTTTGGACTGCAGAGCTAGATAGAGCTCCACTACCTTGGTCTGCAGGGGGATGACCCTGAAGGTGCATAGGGAGAGTGTCTGCGTAGAGACTGTAGAATAGCAGGGGCTGCTGGCACTCCCTCGGCACCCTGCAACTGGCCTAGGGCCCAGGTAAGGCCGCCCCCGACCCCGTTCCCCTCATCCCCGCGCGCCCAATTCGCGACATTGACGTGGACCCCGCGGCGGGCCCGGGCTGCCGGCTGCACCCCAATCTCGGCCCGGGCCGCGAGCCGGCGGAGGGCGCCGCCTGGCGCACCGCGCACACGGAGGCCGGCACTCACCGCTCAGGTAGTTGGTCCACTTGTACAGCACGCCCTCCATGGCGCCCGCGGGCCCCTCGCCGCCCCGGCCCGCCGCGGAGACACCGGACCGGCCTCACATCCTGGGCCCGGGGGCGGGGTCACCGGGACAGCCGAGGAGCACCGGCTTCTGATCGGGGGTCTGCGCCTGCGCCAGGCGCGGTCGCTGTGAACTAGGCGGAGCGGCCGGCGGAGCCGGGCGAGGGAGGCGCGGCCCCGGAGGCGACGGTCGCGGGCGCCTTTACCTCGGCCGGCCGCGGAGCTCGCAGCGCCCGCCCCGGCGCGCTCGCGCATGCCCACTGCGCCGCGCGCACGCTCCCAAATCCACGCTGAGGTTGGGCCGCCGCGCCGTGGGGCTGGGAGGGCGGGGCGCGGATGCGGACGTGGGGAGCGGATGAGCCCTGGGTTCTAGCCTTCAGGGGTCCAGCTTTTGTTATCAAGCTTGTCAGTGTAGACTGATTCGACCTGAGAGCGGGAACCCTCGGATGAGGCAAGTCTGTAGTGCGTTTCCGGATGCACTCCAGTGTAAGGCGCTATTCAAACTGCAGAGCCTCTCGAATGGAAGCTTGGGCTTTGGACCGCTGGCATTGGCTTCATCTGGGGTTCTGTTAAAAATACAGTCTCGCCCGGGTTCCGGACCTTTTGGATCAAAACCTGCATTTTTCACAAGCTCTCCAAGGGGAATTTCTCTATGCATGAAAGTGCGAAAACGCACTGTTGTTAGCATTTTTAGCCAAGAAAGTGTTAATCACGCGTTAAGTGGAAGGAAAATATCGAGAAAGAGCACAGTACAATTTAATATAACCCAAATGGCACAGAAACATACTCTGAAGTGCTGAAGTGTGGGCATTTTCTTTTCTCTCGATGTAAGGTTGGCAGGTTTAATAATTATTTACCCGAACTGCACACCTTGCTTAATGCCTTGTTTGCTTTAAGTTTAATCCAGATATCTTCTTTTGGTAATTCTCAGTTTCCTCTCAATCTGCTACAATGGGCTACGTCTGAAATTAAGGCAACCGTGTGGAACTAGGAGCTTTAAGCTGTGTAATTCTTAAATACTAATGCCATTTCCTCTTTAAAGAGACGTCCTTAGCCATTATTTACACTAAGGAACATTCAGATGATGAATCATTAACAGTCATTAACAGTGATGTTTGTAGAATGAATCAGGTTTAGTCTTAAGGCGGAGCGCAAATTCTTCGCACCAAGTGACCTTAAACAGGACACTAACTTCTAGCCTCAATTTGCTCATCTTTGGTCCTGGCTAGTTTTATGCCAAGATAAAATAATTTGGAAAGATGAGCTCTGAACAATAATAAAATTTGTCTGTAGGTAAGTCTGTGGTGCATTTTTTTAAATACTGATTGATGTGGGAGGGTCCAGCCCATTGCGAGTGGTGCCATACCTGGTCACTTGCGCCTGGGCACTAATAGGAAAGCAGGCTGAGCAAGCCAGTAATCAGCATCCTTCCATGGCCTTCCTACCAATTCCTGCCTCCAGACTCCTGTTTGAGTTCCTGTCCTGACTTCCCTGGACGATGTGATAGGAAGTGTAATGGATAGAAATCCTCCCTCCAAGTTGCTATTGGTCGTGATGTTTTAACCCTGGAATGGAAAGCCTAAGACACCATCTAAATGGGAAAAAAATAACCACGTTAAGTTAGTGAAGATCTTGTACCAGAAGTGCCTTGTGAACCCTAAAGCATCCTTGTTCGTTCTTAGAGTTTATGTTCTAAAATAGTAAGCCACAGTTCTGAGCCATCCTTTGTGGTATCTTGGAGGGGGGTGCTCTCCAGTATCCAGTCTTCCCAAAAAAAACCAGTGTCACCTGGCTTCAGGCTCTTCTGTGGCTCAGCTGGAGTTCTTCACAGAGGCAAGATCCTCCCTGAAGGAGTTTCCTGTTAGCTGTACACCCAGCTGCCTTCCCAAGGTGGGAGACTTTCTAAACCCGCGGGCTCTAGGACTACTCCGACTGGCTGGAACCGTCTGTCTGACTCAACACGACACAGGAGCACTACTCTGTTGGAATGCCATTGGCTGGAGAGGAGGCTGAGTGACAGCACCATCAGCCAATGGAAGGCAGCCCTTCCCAAGCAGCCGCCTTCTCAAAGCCAATCATGTTAGGATGGGGCTTTAACTCTTTAAAGGAGAGTTCGCAGTGTGTGCGAAAGTTGGTGGTAGTAAAAGTGCCACGTCTTCCTGGGAGTCCTGAACCTACCCGAAGCTGCCGTCGCTTTCCGCATATTTTTAACTCTATGAAGTCAGGGACCCTTTCTCTGCTTTGGTAACATGAGGTTTTTCTTTTGGAACGCGATCTTGACACTGTGGGTCACGGCTGTGAGTTCAGCTTTGATCCCTGAGCCAGAAGTGAAAATCGAAGTTCTCCAGAAGCCGTTCATCTGCCATCGCAAGACCAAGGGAGGGGACCTGATGCTGGTCCACTACGAGGGCTATTTAGAAAAGGACGGCTCTCTGTTCCACTCCACGTAAGTAATTTTGTCTTGCAAATGTTTGCCTGCAGAATACAGGACCCACCCAGTCACACCAGCCCTCCTGCTGTAAAGCTAACAGTTCCTTTACCTCTAAAAACAGAAACACACTGAAACATCTGCTTATCTTTGGGGAAAGAAAATTGTCAAAAGCCAGTTCTAGAGACAAAGCCTGGAAAGGACGTCCCGGAAACACGTAGTCTTGATAAGTCAAATTCCTTATAATTTTATTCTATATAAAGTTAAAACTACAATATTTGAAGTTTTACAGAAATACATAATAGTTATAATTAAGCAGAAAGTAGAAAAGGTTTAACAGAATTTTATATCTCAAACTCCATTCCTTAGGTAAAATATTTGATTCCACTTTTAATTGGGCATAAGAGATGTTAAAATGTATCGTTTTTTCTTCAATGGCAAAATGCATAAACATCTATTTGCCTGCTTCTAAAAGATGTACAAATGCTGTTTCATTGACCTATCTAACTTTCTGGCAGGTGGCATTTTGATCAAAGCACAGGATGGTGAGTTCAGGAGTAATCCCTTCTAGAAAGTCAGGCTTCATTGATAGAGGAGGTGTGGTTATAGAAGCCATAGTGGAAAGGTTTCCAGTTGCTTTACAAGGCGGCAGATAATGTTCACAAGTGTAGTGATTTCCATGAGCCCTTCCTTAGGGACATTGGGAAAGTTCAGCTTCTCACCACCTACATCCACTCTTTCATCTATCCCGTGAGTGAAACACTCATTGAAAACCCCATTTCTGGCCCTGAAGATGCAACATTTACTAAAAACAAGTTCTGGTCCTCCAGCACACTCCATGTGCAGAGGGGTGGATAGGAAAGGGCTCAATGGATGGAGGTACATAGGGAGCCTGTGGTCAGGGTGCTGGGGGGAGGGTAAGACTCCATAACAGAGCAGCCTGCAAAGTGCTGAGTGGAGAGTATCTAGGCACAGCTGGAGGGGGATATGAGCTCAAGCTTTAGGCTTTAGCTCAGCTCAGGTCCTTAGATTTTTGTTCTAATAAATTGCTTTGAGAGATGGTCTTTGTGAATGACACTCCTCTCTGAACACTGTTTGCTGTGGTAAAAGTTTCCAAAAGTAGGCTGGTGTGCATATCTTTAATCGCAGCACCCGGGAGGCAGAGGCAGGTGGTTCTCTGCAAGTTCCAGGATAGGCTCCAAAAGCTACACAGAGACAGAGAAACCCTGTCTCAAAAAACAGTTTGTCATAGATTTACCCTTGCTAGAAAGACCAGTGCAGGGCAGATAGTAACAAATACTAAGACAATGGCACTTCAAAATTTCAGTTACATTCTTGCTTTCAGCCTGATCTCTTTCATAACTAAACTAATTTCTTTCCCATCTCAAGGCCAACAGCCTGTGCAGATATTTTGTAGCAGTTCACTGCTAATGTTCTGGTATTTGGGGAGGGGAGAGTTGTCATGCAGACTTTGTGTAAAATCTTAGGCCTGGCTGACTGGGTATAATGATAATGAAGAAATATCATTAAATAAGTCTGCAAAGAGCATTTTGCGTGGAACCGTCATCTGTATAATGACTAGCTTAGCTGTAATAAGAAATGTGACCAAAAGTACTTAGTGAAAATGATTGCTGCTTCTCCATTCTTTATGCCCTATGATCATGAAGGAACATGCAGTAGAGAAGGAATGTCATTTACCCAGATTTTGTAACCATGGTACCCATAAGCCCAGCACAGGGACATTTTATTCACACTAAGAGTTATCCTGGAAATAGGGCACTTGCCTTGCTCTCTAGTGGTTGGACTAAACTGGTCTCAGGATGCTAGCATATCTTCCTGTTCCTTTCCATTGAGGGGCTACTGCTCCAGGATTTTCTGAGTAGCCCCACAGTAGATATTTGCAGAGGGTCTGGGTATAAGTGGAGATTTAGAGTGAAACAGCCTTTTCCATGCATCAGAGCCACCAGTAAACTGTATATCAGGGAGGCTTGTGGACAGGAAGTAAGATTATCCTGTCTGTCTGGGTGTAAAAAGACTTTCACATTTTAGCAGCAATTCTCCTAGCCTTTTGCCTTCCTTCTCAAACTCAAGACATTCCTGGAGATTTCCCTTGGTCTGTATCCCTCCTGGGAAAGTATAATTTTGTTCCTAAGACTTTGAACTTAGAGGTTCAAATACTAATCAAATACTAGTACACTTAATTTCCATTTTCTCTGTCCAACAGGTTAATATTGGTATAGCTGGCCCCTGTTTGCAGGTTCTGTGTCCCTTGATTAAAATCAAGATCCAGCATATTTGATGTCTATTTATATAACATTACATTATAGTATGTATAATTGAAAAATGATTTAATGTATACAGTAGGTTATGTGCAACTACTGAAGATTTGAGCTCCTTGTGGTTTGAGAGACAGAGGATCAAATCCTGAGGACAATCTTCCATCCAAGAAGACCTATCAATAACAGGATTATCACTGAAGTTATAGACAAATGTGCAATAATAATTGTTTTAAAGTACATGTTCAAATTAATTAATTTTTTTACTACTTTTTCTGTCCTTCTCAAGATGACTCAATTTATGAATTTCACATCAAGAAAAGTGATCAGGGAATTGAATTGGTATGAAGTAGACTTAGGTGTGTGTGTTTCCAATCCAAAAATTGCTGTTTTCTTTAGTTTCCGGCTTCATAAGCTTAACCACTAATGGGTAGGAAAAGTGAGGCCCAGCACTGATGTTTGTTTTAAAGTCACTAAAATTTTCTCTGATGTATGGAGTGTTTACCTAGCTTTCATGGGACTCCAGTTTCAATTCCTAAAGTCACTAAAAATAGCTCTAATGTTTGGAATGCTTACATAGCATTCACGGCACTCTGGCTTCAATTCCTAGTGGGGATACAACCTAATTATTTGAATTCTGTTGTGTTTTCTTTTTGGTAGTCACAAACATAACAATGGTCAGCCCATCTGGTTTACCCTGGGCATCTTGGAGGCTCTCAAAGGCTGGGACCAAGGCTTGAAGGGGATGTGTGTGGGAGAGAAGAGAAAGCTCATCATTCCTCCGGCCTTGGGCTATGGCAAAGAAGGAAAAGGTAAAATTGTGTAACTATCCCTCCAAAAGTCCCACCAACTCACTTTAACAACGCAACAAGAAAGGCCATCCAGCAAAAGCGTCTTGATGATTTGAACATTTGGAATATACATCATTGGATACAATTTATATGTGTGGTCATGTGTGTATGTATGTATGTAGTTTACAGCCAGGAAGACTTCCACACTGTAGATCTCATTTAGAGTCCTTTTTTTCTTGCTTTTAAACGCTATTTGTACAGTTATCTTATTTTAATTTTGCTTATTTATTTTTGTGTTTTCAAAACAGGGTTTCTCTGTTAGCCCTGGCTATCCTAGAACTTGATCTGTAAACCAGGCTAGACTTCTAACTCAGAGATCTGCCTGATTCCTCCTTGTGGGTGTTAGGATTAAAGGTGTGTGCCATCACTGTCCAGCTCAATAGTTTATTTTAAGATAATTCATTGACCTGTATTAAAAATAATTCTCCCTGTGCAAGCTGGCTGGCTGGTCCACACAGCTTTTATTGCCAGTTTGTTCCAAAACACAGATACACCTGCTAATTAAGCTGAATCCCTGTAGCTTCTCTGAGGGCTGCTTGATGCTTATCAGCTGGCCCAGATGTAGTCTCTTCACTGAAATCTGCTCTAAGCCAATGGCCAGATCTGGAGACAGGTTAGTGAACCAAGATGTCTACCACTGTGTTGTTTCTTATATTAAAACAGTTGGTACCAACCCAAGTGTGTTATCAGAGGTTAGCCAAATAAAAATTATATGTGAAATGTGTGTGATGTAAAAGAAGCAAATAGATTTTCTATGTGTCTAGCTTTCCCCATTAGTAAAATGGGGGGGGGGATGTTAATATGAGTGTTGAAGTATATCACGATAAATAAAATATTCATAGTATACTGTGATTCTGAGAATTATATTCATGTCTGATTCTATCTTCCAAATTCTTTATGGAGAAAAATGTAGTATTTATACAGTGAAGAAAAAACTGTAAGAAGCTATCAGAAGCAGATGGAGAATCACTCTGATGAGGTTTAGATAGCTTTCACACCATTCTTCAGCAAAGCATAGCCGTTGGCAAAGTAGGGGTCAAGATTTCCTTGCCCCTGTTACCTAAGGAGGTAAAGATATAGATGTGATGTACTCCAAAGTAGGACTAGCTATCTAAGCTATGTTCTACAGGCTTGCTTATTGACCAAACTCAATTCTAATTACGTCTTTTACAGAAAGAAATCCAGTATCTAGGAAAAGTTTCTCTAATGCTCAGATGTAATCTTTCTTTCCAGTGTCTCTGTTCCTTAACTGTTAACTCAGTGCAGTGTGGTAGTAGTTGTCCAGGACATATTTAACTAGCTTTACTTCATAGCATGCAGAGTCATTTCCTTGAGTGTCATGAAACTAATTCTTCTAATATGTATTTGCCACTAGTTTTGTAGTGTCTTAGTGCACGCTTGCATGCCTCCTTGGAAAGACCAGCTTTCCCACCGACCTAGTGCATGTCCCTTTCCTGTCTTCATCACAATGGTAAGCTTTGCCTCTTAGAAACTTACTACTGCCCTTTCATGGAACTTTGAGGGGCTGGGGACATAGAGCTAAGACTTGCTTAATGAATGTGCCCAGACCTTTTATTAAACAGAGCAGCTATAAGAAAGCAAGTTTAGGGAAAATAATTGCCAAAAATTCCAAGAAGTGTTTGTTTCTTTGATTATTAGTTGGGCTTTTTGTTTGTGTTCTGATATTTTAACAAAGTTTTCTTCTTATTCTTTAATATTTGTTAGTTTCCTTTACAGAGTGTATTTAGATTTTCCCTTCTTGATGAAATGTCCTCAACAAATGCATAAGTTCTATGTCAAGAAGGTATTTTCTAAGTTGTTGAAAATTTTCAATATTCCCTTATCATTTTTGAGATCCCTAAGAAAATTGTATCACACACTTACTATTTTTCAAGAATAACACTGAGGATTTTATTTTTTCATGCATTTTCCCCCTTTATCCTTCCGGTGGATTCCTAAGGTAGAAAATGTTATCGATCTCATTTTGCAGACAGGGAAGGAATTGATTCCCCGGGGTGGCAGAAGTTAACAGATCTCAGGCTAGTATACACTGCCTCCCAGTGGCAGTAGACTCTGCCTCCCAGTAGTAAACACAGCAGCGCCGAACCAATGTATTTGAAGGTCAAAACTTTCTAATCTAAATTAATAAATCTCTTGTAATATAATTAAGTCTGAATTACTCAAAGCCCTTTAAAAGTCATTCTTGACATATAATGTGAAGGATTAATTGTACTTGAAATTTAGCATCGAGACTTTTAGGAACATCTGCATATGTGCCTGTATTTTATTGCCACTCCAAACTAGAGTGCTTTTGTTCTGCCAGTTTGGGTTATTCCTCCTTTTGGTCTACTTTTCCTTCCTGGGTAAAGTGTAAGTATAGAACAAGTGATTTCCACCATCTGTGACAGCCACAGTGTCTGTTTGCTTAATGTAGCTAAAATGTTTGTTACCATAATTGGTTTTGTTAGAATCTTCTAAGTAGATTTTCTAAATAAAAATTTCCCTATCTCTCCATATCAGGAAAAATCCCCCCAGAGAGCACACTGATATTCAACATTGACCTCCTGGAGATTCGAAATGGCCCAAGGTCCCATGAATCATTTCAAGAAATGGACCTGAATGACGACTGGAAGCTCTCTAAGCATGAGGTGACCCTGCCCTCTGCCTCTGTGCTGTTTTTCTTCTACTTTTTTTGTTTTCAAAGCTCACCTTTTCAGAAATTCATTAGCTGCTGGGAGATGGAAAATCAGTTTTCTGCAATGGTTTGACACTGGGTATGTTAGCCACACTCCAGAGCATGATCCACATTCAGAAGTAGTGGCCAACACAAATTGGACTCTGTGGTTTTTAGTTACTTTTTTCTTTTTAAAGAAGAGAAGGAACATGAAATTGGGTGGAGGGGAGAATCTTAGATGAGTTAGGGATTAGGAAAAATAGGATAAAATATCCTATATAAATTCTTAAAGAATAAATATGTAATAAGGAAAATTTATTTTTATTTCAGTGAAATTTTATTCATAGCTTTTCCTAAAGTGCCTCGAAGATCGTTTTTTTTTTTTTTCTTTTGTGGGAACCATTGCTCAGGAGAGAACTGTGTTGACTGAGAAAGTATGTCCAGTCTCTTACCACTTCCTTCTTCACCTATGCTTAAAGATGACTCTGTCTCTGCTTTACCGTTGCATCTTGGAAAGCTTCCTTTTTTTGTGTGACAGTTCTGAATACATGAGAAACCCATAAGGTCTGAGAAGCTTCTCATGTGGACAGTTCCTGTTCAAGGTGGCACACTGGCTGCTGGGTGTGTTTCACAGTCCTCTCCGACAAGCAGTTTACGTGACCCAGTTCCTGGAGGAGGGGCTTTCTGGATTTTCCTCAGCAGGACCTTCCTCAGTCCTAATATTTGGGGTGGGAAGAGGAGAAAGGGTCCCTCTACATCTTGTACCTTCACGGCCATCGCTGGCTTTTGTAGCGAAAGAGGTGGAGACAGACACACACCCTGTGGTTCTTACCTACAGTCCCCAGTCTGCCATGCCCAGGCGATGCTCAGTCATTTTTAATGTTTTGGTGAGTTTCACGCTAAGAGTCGGGAAAAGGTGGTGTCTCAGACAAAGCTGTGGGAACAAGGGATCTTTATGGACACAAGTGGGTTTGTTTCTGTGTGGTTTTGTTGTGTTGTTTTGATTGAGACAGGAGCTCCCTGTGGTCAGGCATGCCTTGACTTGGTGAACCTTCTGCCTCAGCTTCCCAAGCACTGGGATTTAGAGTCCGTGTCACCGGGTTTCATATATTGTGGTGTTAACAGTTATATTCCTCCCCCATATCCAAGATAAATTGTAATTCTCTCGCCAAAAATTATGTAATATATTCTTGTGATGTTAAAAACATCAACTGATATAAATGAATATATGTTAAGAAGTCAGGCTGGGTGGCACAAGCCTTTAAACCCAGCACTCAGGAGGCACTCTGTGAGTTCGAGACCATCCTGGTCTACAAGAGCTAGTTCCAGGACAGCCTCCAAAGCCACAGAGAAACCCTGTCTCGGGGGGAAAAAATAAAAGAAAAAGAAGTCAGTCTGGGCGAGTAACTCAATTAGTCAAGCACTGGCTTAGAATGTGCAAGGCTCTGAGACCGGTCTTCAGCATCTTGGAAAACAAACAAAAGTGTTCATTGTATCCATGCCATCTTCATCCTTCACTGGATCCCTCTGGCCCATCCACATTTATCAGGTTCTAATGTATTTTTCTGGTGTTTAGGCAGTTATCATTAGTTGACTTTTTCTTACACAAAAGTCGGGAAAGAGAAAAATACTATTTAGTAGTTTCCTTTATTCACAGAACATAGCCTGAGCCGGAGTCTACAATAATTGATAAAAGAACTTCTGTTTCCTCCTCCTTGCTCCCTTTCCCTCCCTGGCCCTCCCCTCCTTATGTTCGTTCCAAGTGCATTACATCACTTTACCTTAAGTAAATAGCGTATGCTTACATGTCAGTTTGTGAAGGGAGGACTGAGCTCTCTGGTCCAAACTGGTGAAGTGGGGATGTGATGGCAAATGATGATACAGGATGGGTTGTGTTTTAATGATTCATTTGTGTGTGTGGGGGGGGTGGTTGTATATAAGATGCAGCCTATAAAGTGTTGCAGTATATACATGTATGAGTATATATAGAGAGGCCAGAAGAGCAGAACATTGGGTGTCTTCCCATATTGCTGTCTACCTTCTTGCCTTGGGATTCTTGCTGAACCTTCAGCTAGGCTGGCTGGTTAGCAAGCTCTGAGATCTCCATTTTTTCCTCTCCACAAAGCTGAAGTTTCAGGCACGTGCACTTTCTATTGTGCTGGGGATTTGCACTTGGGCCCTCATGCTTACACAGCAAATGGTCTTATCCACTGAGACATCTCCCCAGTCCTTGATTAAGTGTTTAAAGACAATAGAAAATCATCGCATCGACACTCATAAGACTCTGCTCTGATTTTCAGGGTTACAGGGTCCTGATTAGACCGCCGGTGTGACATGGTCACAGCCAGGTACACGGTTTTTCTACTCTGAGGGTTCAGATGAAAAGGGAGAACATAAACTTATTTTAAGAGGAATGTCTGGAATTATGACTCTTCCTAGAAAGAATCCCGATTGAAGCCAGTGTGTCTCAAGACAGCCATCCTGCAGGCATAGGATGCAGTTTTGTTTGCATTCTGGCAGGAGCAGGCAATATGCACTGTTGACCCCAGCTGGCCAAGGAACACGGCTACAGGATGGTTTGTCCCAGTGGCCACTCCGTAGGCCACGCTGCTGCCTGTGCCCTCTTTGCTTATTTAGTCCATCAGAGAAAGCTCTGTTCCTTGGCAGCCACTTTGGACAAAGCTCTGGTTATTTGCAGTGAATTTTGGAGAAAGGTCTATTGAAGGAAAGCCAGAAATACTTGCAAGATCTCTGGGGAGAATACTGGAAGTTACAAAATATTTTTTTTACAACTGTTGTACAAGCATTAGGTGAACTTCAGACAAGCTCTTTGTCACACTTGACTTGTTGCAAGAGGTTCTGTGACAGGGTCAGAAAAGCATAGATTTGCGGCACCCATACACATGCTTTGGGGATCCCTAAGTTGAGAACTTTGGAGAAATCTCAAATGGATATTGCTTTCAAAATAAATTTCCCTATAGGCCGAGTTGTGTATTAGCATGTGCATTCTGCTGGTTAGAATGGATACATCGTCTTCACCGCCATGCTTCAGAGCTTCAGAGCTTCAGGGACACAGTGGCACCTATGGGGTACTGCCTTGCCTGCGTGTAGCCTGTGCAGACAGTGCTCTGCTGAGCTTTCTGCGCCTGCGTGTGGCCTGTGCAGACAGTGCTCTGCTGAGCTTTCTGCGCCTGCGTGTAGCCTGTGCAGACAGTGCTCTGCTGAGCTTTCTGTAGTGCCTGCGTGTAGCCTGTGCAGACAGTGCTCTGCTGAGCTTTCTGTAGTGCCTGCGTGTAGCCTGTGCAGACAGTGCTCTGCTGAGCTTTCTGTAGATAAGTACATTTTAGAAACTGGAACTGAGTAAGCAGTGGGAGAATTTGATGAGCGGTGATAGTTAGAGGACAGAAGGGGAGGGGCGAAAGCACAGGAGTGACTTCTGAGGTGAGCCGCTTAGAAATAACTCCTGGACAGACATAGATAGAGCACAGATGTAAAGAAAAGTTGCCTCTGTTAAGTATGTATTTTTCTTCTAAAAATAAACCTTTTGTTTGTAAAAGTTTAGAACCTTTCTAAGAGCATTTTCATATATATGTGTGTGTATGTATGTATGTATGTATATACACACACATAAATACACACAACGCATATATATATATACCTGTGTTTATATATATATATACATATATATATATACATATATATATTTAAAACTATTAGCTTTTGATTAGTATAATATTTCCTTTTTGTATTTGTTTTGTGTTGTTGTTTTTGAGAAAGGGTTTCTCTATGTAGCTAGCCCTGGCTGGCCTAAACTTACTATGTAGACCAGGAAAGGGTTTCTCTATGTAGCTAGCCCTGGCTGGCCTAAACTTACTATGTAGACCAGGCTGGCTTCAAATTCAGAGAGCTGCCTGCTTTTTCTGGCATCAAAGGCATGCACTATCATGCCTGGCAGTATAGTATTTCTTATTACACACTTATTTCTTAGTTTCAGCAAAGTGAATTATAGCATTCAAGTAAGCCAGGAAACATGTAGCATAATTTGTTTCAAGTTTTCTTTGGTTATTGAGACTCGAAAAAGAAAAATGAGTTCACAAGAATGTTCCTCTTGGGATAGAGATATGTCTCTGTGATTAAGAGCACTGGCTGCTCCTCCAGAGAACACAGATTCATTTCCCAGCACTCATATGGCCCCCTCCTGTCTGTAACTCCAGTTCCAGTTGATTCACTGCCCAGTGACCTCTGTTGGCCTCTTCAGCACCAGACACACATTGGGGCACATACAAACATGCAGGTAAACACCCATAAAATAAAAACAAATCTTAAAAAACTTTCCTCTTCTGTAAGTTAAACTTTAAAAGAACATTTTAAAAAAAAAAATCAAATCTCACAAACTTCTGGAAGATTTTTTTGATGCTAATAATTCCTTTAAAGTATATTTTATTTAGCAGTTTTAGTATAATGCTATGAAAATATTGGCCAAACCTAGCAAACAATGCAATTTGCATGCCATGTTTAAACATTTAAAAAGATATGTTCTGTCAACACCTTAAAATTGCCCTAATGTTGTTTTGAATCCTACATTTTAATTTTCAATTAAATCAGTGTAACAGCCAACTTGAAAACAAAATAAAAAAGCATGAAGTTAAACTTGAAATGTCATAAAACTCAATGTCCTGTTTCCCCTACTGTCACCCTCAGTTATTCTTCAGTGAGTGAATGAGTACAGTTACTGTAGGCATCCGGAGGCAAGCAGATCAGTCAAGCTTGTTTACCACCATCCCTGATTCTCTTGAGGACTTCACACAGAATGCTGTGTCAGGGGGACTGTACTCTGTGGAGTTAATAAATATACCATTTCTCACTGGAAGAATAGTAATTTAGACAATATGGGTATATAATCCAGGAACTGAAAATGCTTATAGATGAGAGATGAGGAGACAGCTTTCAGTGACGTGCTTGCCATTCAAAGCATGATAACTCGAGTTCCAGACCCCAGAATCCAAGGTGGGAAAAAGGTTGGATGTGGAAGTGTGTACGTGTAAGCTGGCAGATTGAGACCAGCAGATCCCCGATGATTGCTTGGCTGTTCAAATGGCCTACTCTGCAGTTCCAGGTGAGAGGCCATATCTCCAAAAACAAGACTCTGAGAAGTGATATCTGAGATTGACTTCTGGCCTCAATATACATGCATACATACATACGTGCATACATGCACAACCCCACACAAACATGTAAGCACACCTGACAACTCACACCAATTTAAATGAGCTGTTAGGTGTTGACTTCCTAATGTGAAACTAAGAATTAAAGCAAATCCAGCTTTAAACAGGCAAACGGGCTGGGGAGATAGCTCAGTGCATTAAGTGCTTGCCATGAGGACCCGAGTTAAGATCCTTAGTGCCATGCAAAAAGCAGAGTGTGAGTACATGCCTGCAGTCCTAGCACTGGGAAGACAGAGATAGGGAGCTCCCTGGGACTTGTTAGCCAGCTAGGGTGGCAATCAGTGAGCTCCAGGTTCAATGAGAGGCCTCATCTCAAGCAATGAGGGTTAAGAGAATTGAAGGGACAAACACACACATACTTTTTAAAAAGGCAGGTAATAGGTTTTAATAAAAACCTTATATTTGATACGAAGATTATTTTTGTGAGTATATATGTACATGTATGCATGATATAAGAAATATTTTCACTTCTGAAAACTATTTGGTGTACCCATAAAGCAAAGACTGTTTTAATTGCTTTAGGAAAGGGCCCAGAGTTTTGTCCTTGCTCTGTATCGTTGTGATGTGGATTATTAATGAGAGCTGTTATTTTGTAGGTTAAAGTGTACCTAAAGAAGGAGTTTGAGAAGCACGGTGCAGTGGTGAATGAGAGTCACCATGATGCTTTGGTGGAAGATATTTTTGATAAAGAAGATGAAGACAAAGATGGATTTATATCTGCTAGAGAATTTACATATGTGCATGACGAATTGTAGGGATGGGCCTGCCATTTTATATGTGTCCATCTGTAAAGGGAAGACAGCACCTTTAAAGAAAGTTGTAGTTCTTAACAGCATTCTGTTCTCATTTTGTTTGTTTTTGGTTTTATATTATTTTCTGTTATTTAAGAAACCCCATAGACTTTGTAAATATCCATATCTTTCTTTCTGGTAAGTTATTGGGAAAACACAGTCATCTTTAAGTGGAAGATTTCTGGTCCATTTCCACTTTCATATGAAGCTTGTTTGCTTGCTTCCTTCTAATGGTAACCTATAGCTACTGGAAACATGCCACAGCATATGAACAGATTGTAGTGTGCCCTGCATGTCTGCCTTCTTCTGCTTCCTCTAAGCAGACATATTTGAAGGCTTTTACAGTAGTCCATGGCTTGCTACTTTCATGTTATAGTGAACTAGTTTTTCTTTATCTGACTTTGAGTATCTGCTTGAGAAGGCATATGGTGGGCCTGACTCCTTTACAGTTATGGCCTCACTGTGGAGATGTGCAATGTTGGATGAATAGGTGTGCATTGAAACATCTGCCAAGACTTCATAGTGGCTAATGGCCTAGTGAAATAAGTCAGAGAAATCATTTATGTGTTTGTTTCCTTGTAATCAATGCTTCAAAATTTGGTAACATGGTAGAGAGTTGTATTTATAGTCAGTGTTTACTTTTAAGGTTACCAATTACAGCCTCCTGGTTTTTCAGTGAATGAAGTTTACAGCTAGTATATTACTTTGCAGTAACACTGAATCATGAGAGAAGTTAATGAATCAACTAGACTTTCCCCATTTGTGACTCATCAAAAATGAGGTCAACCTATACCAGCTGTTATCAATACTTACCCTGGGTTTGAAAATTTATCATTTTATCTCAAATTGGCTTCTAAACAGGATGAAGAATTCTGTTTTTAAAATTGATTTTAATCAAATTGGCTGTTACTTTAAGTACTTAAAATAGACTTTCCAGGTCTCCATTTGTTAGTGATAGTTTCTCATAGTTCATAAAAATGAATCAAGTGCATTGTTGTGTGACTGTTGTTCTGATACCCATGGGGAGCCGCTGCATCTTACGGTACCTCTTTATGGATGAGGGGTGCTGTTTGGAGGTTGCCTGATGAGTCCAGTGCTGGTGGTTAAGCTGTAGGTGCATTTTCAGTCCCTGAGTTCGCTTTTCTACTTTCCTGCTGAGAAAGAAGCAGCGAGTTTGGTGTACCTGCTGGGCCCTGGTTCCTTTTGCATCTTTACCTCTGTGGACAGTGTCTGGCAGACCACAGCTCTCCTCAGGATTCAGGAATGCCTGTGTTCTCATAGAATAACTTTCACATTTGCTCTGAATCCTCAATCACCCTCCCTGTGAGCAGTGAGAAGGGCCAGATATAAGCCTTAGTTCACCCATTCCTGTCACCTCTTTGTTGTTTGTAGAAATTAGATTACTTCACTAATTATGCATTGACATTTTCCTCAGCAAAACATGTTATCAGGAAGAATATACTCTAAGACCTGTTCTTGAAGATGTCAGGTACAACTGTAAAATGGTTGTCAGTACTGACAGTTTTCTGGACCTGGGGAGGTTGGAAGAAGGCCGTCATGAGAGGACAGTGGTGTGTCTCAAAGCCTGCTTTGCACCGAAGCTACTGCCACCATCTGTGCTGGAGCAAGAACCTTGATTATTGTATAAATCTGTATCAGTGCTCGGCTAAACATTCAAACAAGTATGGAAAAAAGGGCAAATCAGTAATAATGGTTTGTTTGAGCCATCTGCTTTTTGGTATAGCAATATCTTTGCACCCTCCCATGAGCAGGAATAAACAAACACCAACTGTGACTTCACATGTATGTAATTTGACCCATAACTCTTCATGTGTCATATTTACATTTCCATGTCTATTATGATATTCTTTTTGATAATAAAGTTTATTTGGGAAATAATTGGTATTGTAAAAAATGTTTTTCATATGTACACGTGTTTTGTATGTGTATGTGTATTCACATATATTGGGGGCACAGATGTGTGTCTTTCTGGAGGCAGGATTTTTCACTGAACCTGGGGCTCTTCATTTTGGCTCTGCAGCTTGCATCAAGAGTTCTGTCCCTACGTCCCATGCAGTGGGGTTGCACCTAAGCCACTTTGCCCACTGGCCTTTTTATGTGGGTTCTGGGATGCTGATGTGCAAGGCAGATGCTTTACCCTCATTCATTCCCTCAACCCTGACTTCATGAAAAAAGAACAATATTAAATAAATCAGCTCTGTAGTTCCCTCCCTCCCAGCTTTTTATTTTCTTGTTTCCATGCCAAGGACTGAGCCTTCTGTATGCTAAGCCCCTGGCCTACACCCATAGTTCCTCTCTAATTTGATTCTAGGTTTCATGATAGAGTGCAAGGGATGGAGTGGCAGTGGCAGGAGATGGATAGAATGATGCGGTCTATCTCTAGGTAGCTGCTCTGTTGTGGTTTGCCAGGAAAGCTGTTGCTTCAAATTAGCATTAAACCTTGAGCATTAATGGCAGTAGTTGACAGTGAATTTCACACGGGGCTTGTGAGTAGGGGAAGACAGGAGAGTGGTTGTTGTCACTGTTGTTTAGGTTTGGCACTTGATTGTGTGTGTAGCAGGTGGACATGGTCTCTGCCTATTGAGTGATTAGTGTTATCAAATGCCTTATGTATTACATGGAATGCCTGAGCTGAGACGAATAACAAGAAACAATAATTTCTGCTTCAGATGAAGCAATTAGCTGTTGGGACTTTGTGCAAATGAACTGTACTTGTTCATGATGTAAATTACATCCATGCTGCTGTTTATAGAGTTCTGCATGCTCCCTCTCTCCACAGAACTAAACAGTGTGTGGGGGTGGGAAGGGGGGGACCATGTTTGAATATTCCAAGAAGGGAAAGAGTTGATTTGATGATGTGTTATAGGGGGAATTCCTCTCACCGTTTATTTAAAAAGAAAAGTAGCACTGTCATGAAAACCCTAGGGAAAAATAACTTCTTTTCCAAAGACACAGAACACTTACAGGTGGTCTTTTTGTTTTGATTTCTGCTTTTTACCCTCTTTAGCTTGAATTGCAATCTTCACTTGTCAGCCATTATTTTAAATGCCTGTTCCTATATGAAACACGTATGCTCTGCACGAGACCATCCTGAAGCTAAATAGCTGCAACCTTCCAGAGTCCAACTGGGCCTGCCAACCAAATATCATCACAGTTGGACTTGTTGACTGTTACCTACCTTCCCGCTTGGAAGGATGGGGCAGGAGGATCATGCAAGCCTCACCTAACTATCCAGCCATCACCCATAACCAGTTGTATGCCATTATAACCTAACTGAATGTGGCCTTCGTGTCTCTGGAAGGGGCTAGAGGATAAAGGTCGGGAAGGATGAGGGGAGGAGGTTTCATCTATGTGGCTTGCAGAAGCCATTATCCTTTCTGGGTGCACATCTCCAGTGTGGCTGCTTTAAAGTCATCATGCTCCTGCCTGTAGCTACTCACCCATTGCTTTGTAAGCCAGTCTAATAAACTCATTGGTACCTGGGTGAACTCTGTTGGAATTGTACCTCAGATTGTCATTTGGACTTAGGAGGAGGGGTACATGCTCTGTATGTCTCTCCCTAAGGGAAGGAATTTTAGCAACATGCTTCCCTCCCTGGCTACCTGTAGCATTCATATGAATATGATTTCTGCATTCCCTTTTAGTAGAATAAAATCCACAAGCTAACGTATATAACAGTATGAGTTTGGAGTCTATTTGGTGGAACGCTCTTTTTCTGTTGTCTGGGGGGAGGGGGTAGGATTGGGGACAGCTGAGAAGCAGAATGCTTTCATGGCATGGATAGGGCCTTGGGTTCCATCTCTGGAAGTACAAAGAGTTACACAATGATATTTTTCTGCTTTCCTCTTTACTCCTGTTCCTTTGGGTTCCTTGCCCCAGAACTGCAGAAAGAGCCTGGTTTCAAAGCTCGGTCTTCATTATGCTGAAAGGCACCCTTACTTCCTAAAGATGGCAGGAATCTAACAGTGGCTCTTTCCTTTGGTGTACATTAGAATCATAAGTGGCATTTTAAAAGCAGCCATCGCTGATTCCTCTCCTCAGGATTCTGACTAATTCCTGCATCTGAATTTTAAACCCCTTGCTAGCTGATCCCAATGAAGAAAATCCACAAACATTAACTGGGGACTGTGAACTTTACCAGACTCCCCTGCCCTTGAATGTAGATCAGATTTTTCTCTCCTACAAACAATTTTTCTCATATTTAGAAGGCAGTATTCAGATAATTGTCCTGAGAATCAACAGATAGCCAAAAAGATAAGCTATGTAGAGCTAAAAAATGTGTTCTACATTTCTAAAGTGAAATTTGGATGGCCATGGAGAAAAAAAAAAAAGATGATCAGAAAATGATTTTGTGAGCATCTTTCCTACAGGAGACAGTACCAAGCACTGGGCTTTCCTGACATTCTTTAATACTCTTTTTGAAATTATCTACAGACGCACATCTCTAGAAGAATGCATAGTCAGATTAACAGAAAAGTGAATTATTCTCTTAATGTGGGGTATGTATGTGCATGTGTGTGTGTGTGTGTGTGTGTGTGTGTGTGTGTGTGTGTGTATGAGTATGTAATATGATGGTAAAAAGTTTAGGACTTGGAGCATTTGGGCTTTTCAGGTTAGGAATGCTCAACTGGTAAAGACTTTGGCAATGTTTAAGATTTATTTCTTTTTTATTTTATGCATATGTAGGTGTGCTTTGCCTGTATGTGTGTCTGTCTATGCACCATAAGTGTGCTTGGCACGCTCAGAGTCCAAAAGAGGCCATCAGATTCCCTGCAACTGGAGTTGGAGTTAGAGACTATTGTGAGCCACCAACCATGTGGCTGTTGGGATCCAAACCTGGGTCCTCTGGAAGAGCAGCCAGTGCTCTTAACCCCTGAGCCATCTGCTCAGCCCCTTTACAATGACCCATGAAAGCTGAAATACCTCAGATCTAGAGCACTTCAAGAAAGGATAGCCAACCTGTAATGTGCAACAAGCATGGCATTTTACACCGAATATGATAATGGGCTTTCCTCTTTCGTGCATGATTCCCTCTCTCTGAAAAGGTGTCCTTATTATTCAGTGAAAATTCCTTGTGTTCCTTAGCATCTATCATTCCATACTTGGCCAATATTTCTGTGTTTTAATCACACATAGATTATGCTAGAAGCAGTTGCTTTCCTTCTGATGCCAGCGATGACTTTGCTCCCTTAGCTAGAGCTGCACTGAAGGGACTTAGTGCAGTGACTTAGATTATTGTCAAAGAAAGGGTTAAAGTCATTTGGAACACTGAGAGATTCACTAAGCAATTGCCCAGGGGAACCTTTGTTTACCAGTTCTGTGTTCAGTGCTGCTGGTAAAATTTCTCATATAAAATGGATGGTTCAGGACATTGAGTCAGCCAGTAATATATAAGCCAACCTTAGGTGCCTGCAAGCTAGACTAACATCAGTTTTGTTTTAATGGTCTGAAGAGAAATGACACGAGACCTTTGCTGAGTTGTTTTTGTGCCCCCACCCCCAGCCATTCAGAGTAAAGTAAATGGGGTCCCATTAGTCTCTGGTAACAACTAATTATCCCCTACTCTGGTGACAGCTAAATTATCCCCCAGTAGGGGATTTCTGGGAATTTATAAGTCATTTCATTAATTGAAAATTCCACGCTATAGTAGGAAACTGATACTTTCTTAAACGGTTGCAGTAAGATGGGCCTGGGCACAATGTGAAACGAGGTACTGAGGGCCAGTTTCATTATCACAAAGAAGGGAAGGGTACGAACACCCTTCATGGTAAGTTCCAACTTCTTATATAGCATCTTCACTGATTTGCTGTCTCCATCCTTGCAAGATGCATGCTATGCTCACGTAACCCCTTTTGCCTCTGGCTAGAAGATCAGAGTGTAATGGTCCACTCTGTATTTGTGGCTCCTTCTCATATGATCATGTGTGTTCTGGAATTGTTGTGCAATTATTTTTCTGCCAAATACAATCTGTTCAAGGTAATTTTCGGGTGGCCCTTGAGCAGCTAAATTTAGTTAAGTAAACAATTAAATGGGGGCTCGATGAATAAAAAGCTTACTGGGCAAGCCTGCAGACCTAAGTTTGGGTCTCCAACACTCACGTGAAGGTATGGTAACATATGCATATCTGCAGCACCTGCATTAAGAGAGGGCAGAGACAGGTGGATTCCGGGGGCTGGCTGCAGCCAATCTAGTCAAAAGGGTCAGCTCCAGGTTCAGAGAGAGACTTACCTCCAAAAATAAAGTGGGGAGCAATAAAGACCCAAAATTGACCAGTGATCTCCACACCAGTATACATGGGCAGGCACAGCCCCCAACAACACACACACACACACACACACACACACAGAGAGAGAGAGAGAGAAAGAGAGAGAGAGAGAGAGAGAGAGAGAGAGAGAGAGAGAGAGAGAGAGAATGCTAACAGTGATTAAACTGTGTAGAATAACCAGGAGAAATAACAGTACAAAACTAAGATTTCCCTTTAAGAAAGGGAACATTTTACATGCAGAGAAACTTCGAAAAGATCTTGCAATGCAATTCCCATCTGTAATTCCTGAGGATAGGTGTTAGTTCTTCTGTCAGTGTTCTTTGAGAATTACTTACTGAAGTTTTCCCCTGCTGTATTATTTTGGCTGAGTTTTATAAAGTACAGTGTCTTCCACAAGATGCCCTACATTTTCCCCCTTGCCTCCTATGGCAGTAGACAAAGCTTTCTGCTTTGTGTCCTAGTCTTTAAAGAGAATTAAGCAGCTTGCTGGAGTTAATTGATTCTTACATTAACACTGAGCAGTAAATCAACTCTGCCTGAATTTTTTCTAACGTTTTTATCGCTATGGCAACAGTATCTCCAAAGCTATTAACTCTTAGTGGTTTATTTCCTC